GTTTAACCCTTTGCAGTCGAAGTTATTTTAACGTCAAAACCAAGACAGTACTTCTGACCTATAGTATTTCTACTTTTAATAATTATTTTCCTGTTGTGCATATAACGTTAAGCTTATTTGTTCATGCAGCTTTTTGCACTTGAAACGATTTATTGAATATAGATAAATTTAATAATGCAAGAATTATACTGAAGAATGATGTAGGAATTTTCAGTGGCGCCTTAGAGTCGCCGTTCGACTGCAAAGGGTTAATAGATCTTAATGAACATTGATTTTCACGTGTGGAAGAGCTAGGAAAAATAAAATGAAGATTGCTCATCCGATTTCAATGGTGTTAAAACGAGGCATCTTGAAAGATTGTCTATCTTATCGATATCCACAGACAATTGATGATTGATGGTTATCTGAACATGAACTTCTTTCTATGCATCACCGATTGCACATTTGTGAGTTATAAGCTTGATTCTCAAAGTCTTCACGTTCTGTACCGAAATTACAGATTTCTAAGCAACAATTGCAAGAGTGATAAACTTTTTATTCGAATTTGTACGTTAGAAATATACTTCGAGTGTTTATGCACCTGCGATTTGAGACAGTGACCCGCGAAAAGAAGAGAATATGTTTCGTGAGCTTCTATTAAAATTTTCAGGACACCGAACGAGTGCATAAACCTCTGCATTCTGTGTACGAATAATCGTTGACCGACGATGACAATTGATATTTTCAATGTACTTACATTCTGCAGAGCCTTGTCCTTTTCCTCCAATTTAGCATTGACCTGCATGAGGGCTTCTTGGGTCTGATCGAGTTCATTTTCAATGGTCTGGATCTTCTTTTGGAGAGCACGCGCCTCTTCCTCAGCCTTTCCAACATCAAACACTCAAATCAGTCTCCGTAGTTACAAAGAGATCGATCGCGATTTACGAGAAACGGAAAAATACAACGCGACGAACATCGCAGGCAGCAGCAAAAGCAGAGAACGCGAAAGTTCCAGATCTATAATTGAAATTCTTGAACGGCCGCCAAGCCTATATTGCATTTTTATCACGACGCGATTATTTCATCGCTATTTCCGTCACGTGGAAATGTAAACAGACAATTTCGGGAGCTCCCGCGTATATCGAATTACTATTTTTTTATTTATACCGCGCGACCTACCCTTCCGCGTCCCACCGCGAAGCCTGAATTCTACTCGCGTCTAAAGATAAGCGAAAGAACCCGATCGTACGGAGGACCCTGGCGCAAAATTGCAGAGGCGCACGATGCCGCGCGAAATCCTCGACAGGTGTAATTTCCCTAAAAACTGGACCCGCCAGCTGGTTCTTGCGCCAAGGTCTCTCCGAGACTTTTCTCTGGAATTTTACCTTTTCGGCCCTCGCGTTCGCGTCGCGAGCCTGCTGTTCGCAGAGCAACGCGCGATCCATCGCGTTGTCCTTCTCCAGCTTCATTCCCTGCATCTTCTTCTTGATCGCGTCCATGTTGCCGGTGTTGTTTCGCTACTCGTTCACGAGAGAAAAAAACGGGGGATACCTAGAAACACGAAGATAGCCGGCCGTTAGCTTCGCGTCCGTCAGCCATCATCCTGCATAGAACGATTGTACTTTTTAATCATCGTCCCGTGGCTCCTCGCGGCGACGCCGTCGTCGGAAGGATCGATTCCCAAGGAATCCAGCGGCGCGTTCATCGTCGGGCCGCCGCGTCGGTGATTTCAACGACCGCGATGAGAGACAATACGCGCGCGCGCGGCCGCAATTAACGGCGCGACTCGTCTTAATTGCTCATTTTATTCCCCCCACGCCGGCCCTGCGCCCCGCGCACCGGCTGTCTCGTCTAGTTTCCGCGGACCCGCGGCTCCGTGTCGCGCGATAATTGCCGTGGAAATTTCTGGGATCGGCCGAGATTCGCGCGCGTCCGCCGTTCGGCGGACAGCATGCATCGAAGTATAATTAGCGGACGACCGGATATCCTATTTATAGAGGCAGGTTCTTGCTCAAGAAGGCCCGGGCTCTGTACCCGTGTTCGTGTCTACATATGAAATCAAACGTCTTCGGTATCTCTCGCGCTGCCGTGGTCGCGCTCGCGCGAGCGCGCCGCCGTCCTTCTTCCACTAGAGCCGTGTGACGTCAGCGGCTCAGGTATGCGATCCTCCAGGACGAACGAACACGGCTCGGGACGAGAGGATCCTTCGCGGGCTGCACCGTTCGCATTTTATGCGCTCGTTTCTCTCTCTCCGCTCCGGCGCGGCGCGGCGCGGCGAGATACCGCGCGGTGAAACGCTCTCGCGAACCAGAACTGGGAGCACCGCACCGACCAACGGGTTAATTCTCTTCGTGGAAACATTCCTCGCGCCGGTCCTGAACGTCGACGACGAATCTCTCGCGCACCGTTCCCGATAACCGACTTCGTCCCGCACGATTTTCAAGGTTCCTGCCGCTCGGATTGAAACGGTTTTATTCGGGACTGGTTGGACACTTTCGCCGGAGTGCCCACGGCGGACACGTTTCGCGAGGGTTCCGCCGCAAAACGAACAACATGCTGTAACTTAATTCTCGCTGGACAACTATGCGGACACTGGAGACGCTGGAATTCCTTGTTCGACGCCGGGCGCCGGCGAATTTTTCCAAATTTTATTGTTAGCCGCCTAGGGCGGCGGAGCCGGTTACTGTGGGCTGGCCGATGATCGTGCTTTAGGCTTGATTTCGGACATGATTCGCTAAATATTTGTCGAATGAGACACGTTCGATTTGTTTACTCGAGGATAAACCAAATAGAACAATATGTTCGATAAGTATAACGTTTATTATGTCAGAGTTAGTAGGCTTCATTACCCTAATTCACTCACTCGGTGCTTGATTTTATAGCAATTTAATTGGCAAACTATATTGACCGAGCACTGCAGAAGTCGCTTAGGGTGGCGGAGCCGGTTACTGTGGGCTGGTCGATGGCTGTGCTTTAGGCTTGATTTCGGACATAATTCGCTTCATATTTACCGAATGAAGCACGTTCAATTTGTTTACTCGAGAATAAACGAAATAGAATGTTCGATAAGTATAAAGTTCATTATGTCAGAGTAACCGGCTCCACTACCCTAATTTACTCACTCGGCGCTTGATTTTATAACAGCTTAATTGGCAAACTGTATTGACCGAGCACTGCAGAAGGATTGAACTCGAAGGAACCGAGGGTTTTCAAATAGAATGAGTAACAATGATAGTTCAACAATTTTTAGGAATTCAGCATCGACGGTTAAGGGCCCTTGATTAACACTAAACCTACCAAGCAGTAATACTAACTGGCGTGTACTGCTTCACAAAAGTGAGAAGACCGAATTTATTTAGATTTTGTAAAGTTTTCATTATAAAACTTGCTCCAATAATGTAACTTATTCAAGCATTTTCCACGAAGCAGTTTCGAAACTTTGCAGAATTGCAAAGTAAAAAAGCGGTCACTTTGATCGCGGTAGGATTAGTGTTAAGTAGATTTCGGGTTATCACGTTCTCACGCAGCAAACTGTAGACTCCATGGGGTGGTTGGTCACCGATCATTGAATCTACGCCACTGCGAGGTAGCGTAGATCCCTGTAGCCGCGTCATCGGTATCCATGTGAGCGAACGTGCGCGATTCCCGTGCTCGCTGGTAATCAGAGATGCTGGGTAAGCAGTAAGGGAGAGGAAAACGGTCTTCCAATGTGATTGGATGATCCCGAAATTCTAGACGCGATGATCTCACTAGTAAATCCTCGTTTGCGAAACCGAGATCTTTTGTGATATCAATTGTCGGTGAGATTAAATAATAACCTTGAGATTTCACGATTTGAGAGACGAGGTTCTAGAAGTCGGGTGTCCTTTGAACTTTTGACTGAAAATGTCTTTTCGTTGTCTTCCTACAAGCTTTATACGATCGTGCGACGGTAGACAAAGAGAAAATTGAGGAAGGTGCTCGGAATTTCTTGCGAACTGAACTCGAAGGCTTGTATCGATCCTTGGATCGATATCCTTTAGCAGACGCAAAATTATCGAAGACAGTTGCAATCACCATAGAATTTTCCAGCGAAATGCAGTAATGTCTCCCTATATTGACGCTCAGATTGTACACAAAAATGGACAATTTGGGAAGAGGAGACACAATCGCACGAGTCTTGCAGCTCGTTTTTATAGTTGTGGACAATCGATAACCATAAAGAAACGAGCCACAAGGCTCGAATAATCGTATCTCCTCTTCCAAAATCGTCCAGTTTTGTGCACAATTTGAGCGTCAATTGGAGAAACATTATTGTAGTCTCCAAAATGGAACGCAATCGGTCGAGGGCTGCTTTGAGGGACGATTCTTTGAACTATAAGCGTAATTTCATCGATTGCGGTGCAATGTTTGACTCGCATTGTACATTTACGAGCGTTCACAATCGAAAAATTACCTGTTCGGAGGATTAAAATCGAAATTGATTGCGTCGAAGGGACCGAAACGCGGTCTAGCAAACGCAAAATTATCGAAGACGGTAGCAATCGCTATAGAATTTGCCAACGAAATAGTCTCCAAAATGGAACGCAATCGGTCGAGGGCTGCTTTGAGGGACGATTCTTTGAACTATAAGCGTAATTTCATCGATTGCGGTGCAATGTTTGACTCGCATTGTACATTTACGAGCGTTCACAATCGAAAAATTACCTGTTCGGAGGATTAAAATCGAAATTGATTGCGTCGAAGGGACCGAAACGCGGTCTAGCAAACGCAAAATTATCGAAGACGGTAGCAATCGCTATAGAATTTGCCAACGAAATAGTCTCCAAAATGGAACGCAATCGGTCGAGGGCTGCTTTGAGGGACGATTCTTTGAACTATAAGCGTATTTCCATCGATTGCGGTGCAATGTTTGACTCGCATTGTACATTCACGAGCGTTCACAATCGAAAAATTACCTGTTCGGAGGATTAAAATCGGGATCGATCGCGTCGAAGGGATCGAAACGCGGTCTAACAGACGCAAAATTATCGAAGACAGTAGCAATCGCCATAGAATTTGCCAACGAAATAGTCCCCAAAATGGAGCGCAATCGGTCAAGGGCTGTTTCGAGGGACGATTCTTTGAACTATAAGCGTATTTCCATCGATCGCGGTGCAATGTTTGACTCGCATTGTATATTCGTGAGCGTTCGCAATCGAAAAATTACCTGTTCGGAGGATTAAAATCAAGATCGATCGCGTCGAAGGGACCGAAACGCGGTCCAAAATGGAGGTCACCGATGTTTCCATGGGAGCCGGACTGATTCCGAATAATGGGGGAAACGAAGCATCGTAGGAGGTTTAAAGATAGTCGAAAATGGAGGTCACGAGTACCGTCGCGTTTCGAAATCGGGAATCGAACCGATTGCCGACGAAGTTCCCACGTACATGTCGGATCAAAATGGAGGTCAAAGTCCCTTGTCCCTCGAAGTGGGAGTCGGGGGGCGACGAGCATCGGTCTCGTCTAGAAGAGCATCGACAGCGCTCGATCGAAATAGCGTTACATAAAAAATAAGCGGCGGAGCGGACGGGTCCTAAAAGCCGCGCGTATCGCCGGAGAGGGTTATTTTTACCCGCGAGAGGAGAGGGTGGAATCGTCGCTAGTCGCCCGCCGCCGAACCTTTTCGGGTTAGGCGAGGCTGATCTTGGTTTCTGCCCGCGGATCGGTGTCTAGTTACGCTTCGAGGAGCGTTTCAAACCCTTGCTCCTACGTTTCGCGGCAATTTCTATTCTTTCGAGCGTGCAACCCACGCGCCGCGACGACGGAACGCGACTGTCCTCGGCGTTTCGAGCGCCGGGAATCGCCAAAAATTTAACCAACTCGAGAACTCCGCCCGTCTCTGGGCTTATTTAACGGATAATAAACGGAACGATCGGCGAAATTTCGCACCGCTCTTGCAACCGCTTAAACATAGTACGACACTTCGAAACCAGATAAGATCTATGCTAGTGTTCTATCGTCAGCTGCGATTAAGCCTCTGCGATTATTCCGTCGAGCGAAAGCGCGACCGTCCGCGGCGCGCTGTTTCGCGAATCGGTTATCAGTCGGCACCCAGTTCGCAGGAATTCCTGCGTCGAAAGGAGATCGGTACGGTGTTGACACAGGCGGTGAACGCCAGAAATTTCTCATGAGTCACAGTTTTCCGGCGGTGCCGGTTTTACGCAAGCGCGAAACGATGCACGAAATTCGCAGACGAGGTCGCGTCGCGACCAACCGATTCCCCGTGCGAAATACAATGAACACCGAACCAGGGCGGTTGATCACGAGAAAAAGGAAGAAGGTGTCTCGTACCGTGCACACAGTCGACCCTCTCGAAATAGACACAGAAACCTCTGTACCTGCGGACCCGAATTCGACTTGGTCACCTCTAGAATCCCGACTCCCTGAAGATCCTCCGGGATCTGCTCACTCTCCTCGCGGCCGCGGCAAAAAACCACGTCTCTCCTCCTCACGTCACTTTCCTTCACTCACTCTTGAAGAACTCGCCGTAGGAAGTCGTGTATGGCGTCCCATGGGGGACAAGAGGAGCTGACCGAGGAGAGGACGAGAAACCGGGGAACCACGTCGGGAGGTCGCGGGACCGCGGGGCGCGACGGCGACGGCGACCGAGACAGATGAGACGAAAAAGAAAGATATGCACATGCTTACTCACGGGGCAAGTGCTCAGGTTCGTTCGTCGTCCGGGGATGCGTCTGACTCGCAGGCTAAGTCTCGACTGGCCGCTGAAAGCTACGGCTACACGGTTCGGGGCTCCCACCTTTTCTCGCGGGCTTCTCTTCGTGATCGTAAAAGACGAGGATGACGTCGCGGGAGGACGCGATCCTCTCTCCCGTCGGCTGCCCCCCTCTCTCTCTTTCTCTCTCTTTCTCTCGCACTCTTTCTCTCTCTCTCTTTCGCTCCCCGAGTCTCTATCTCTCTCGCTCGCTCTCTATCTTTGCCGAGAGAGCCCCCCCCGGCACGATTTTCCTACGTACGGGCCTGTGAAAACGTACACCGCCGCGGATATTTATCTTTAGAATCGGCGACCCGAGCGAGCAAGCGAGCGAGCAGGCGTCGTTCCTCCTCCGGGCTCTATTTTTCGATGTTCTGGAGAGGCCACCGCGGTGTCGCGAAAAGGGAGACACCGGGCCGCGGAGACAATAGAGCTGCTTCCGATGTCGCGGGATGATGATGCTGCCTCGGTTAGACGTCGAAGCCGGTCGAGCTTTTATGGGCTGATCTTTCGAGCGATACCGGCGCGGCTCGGCGCGGCGGTAAGGGATGCGGAATGCTCGCCGGCAAACAGGATTCGAGATCCATGCGCAAAATAGAGGATCTCTCGAGGCGCGGAGGAGCCGGTGTTGCTCGGGGACTCTGACCGAGGCGTTCACCCTTCGCCGAGCATCGACGGTGGCAATGGAAATCGATCGAGACCCCGAGAATCGGATCGATGCGACCGTAAGAAATCGGCTCGCCGAGCTGGACTACAGCTTGTACGTGAGATCGCAGAAGTTCTGATAACAAGTGCTATCAGTTCGAGTAGTGCCGGATCGTCGTCGATAGGATTGCTGAGAATGGTGATTATATCGTTGAAGGAACACGGTGACGCGTTATACAGGCTGTCCCAAAAATGTCTCGCAATACGGAAACGTGGGGTAGCTGAGGTTGTTTTAAGTAACTTTTTCATCTGCGAAAATGCGATCTGTGGCTTTGTTTACGAGTTATTAACGAAAAACACTGACCAATGATGTATGCGGCATATATGCGGGACGCGTATTAATACCTTTCTAAACATTTACTTCCATAACGATTTTGTTATGTGTTTGAGAAAAAACCCCATTGAGATACTAAATATCCTCGTTATATGCAGTAATGTCTCCCTTAGTGACGCTCAGATTGCGCACAAAACTGGACAATTCGGGAAGAGCAGATACGATTGTTCGAACTTTGCAACTCGTTTTTATAGTTGTTGACAATCGATAGCCAGAGAAAACGAGCCACAAGGCTCGAACAATCGTATCTCCTTTTCCAAAATTGTCCATTTTTGTGGACAATCTGAGCGTCGATTAGGGAGACATTACTGTACTCGTCAAAATCTTGTCGTTAGTTTTGAAAATAGAACAAAGATATATAAAATAAAACAGCTGGTTCTGCGAATCCGCACAAAATGTGACGAACGTCGGAATTTTCAGAGGCTTGCGTTCGGTGCTCTTCATTGATTCGGACGAGTGTAATTATCGGACTACGTATCTTAATGCAAAATAAAAATCGACTAAGTTAATCGTACGAAACAAAAGTTAAATAAAAATGTGTCACTTCTTTTAACAGTATCAATAAATTGAAAATACTGCAAATGTTCGCTAAAATTTTTCTTACGTAGTCGCTGTTCTGTATTTCTCCGTTTTCGCTGTAAATGCATAAAAACCGCAATCTACTAATTATTGTTCCACAGAATTGAGATTCGACCGAAGCCGCCTCGATTGCAAGCAATTAAATCTAGTGGAAGTGGATCCAGGCCGAGATCGAGTATCGAACGGTGGGATGGGAGGGGGGGCGGCACTGCAATTCGATAGGGAAAGTGAATAGTTTCGCGCGGCGAAGAAAAAGATTCATCCGAGATCGCACCGGCGATTCCTTGATCTAGTTTCCGGCAAAGTCAAAGTCACGCGGACGCAAGGTCGCCGTTGCACTTATCGGGCGAATGATCATCCGTACCGGCGATCCAACAATCGCTAAAGCGACTAATGACACGTTCGAGCTAGCAGGTTCATAAATAAATTACAACGAAAAGGCGCGAGAGAGTATCGCGGGAGCAAGATCCATCATAATTAATGGTCTATAAAAGGCGGACGTTGGTGATTCATGGCAAAAGGTCGCCGCGACTACTGCGTTTCTGCCGCGGAGAATCAAATTCGAACGAACGAACGGAAAAACGACACTGTTTTCTAGCTGCCTTGTACACGATTTTGGTACGTTCGGCTTACATTTCGACGTGAAAGAAACTCGAGTTTCCTGGACGCGGATCCGACGGGGCATCTAATTTATTGAGACGACCGATTCTTATGTAGCTTCTGTCTCCTCGAAATAGATTCCGAACGACTTCGCGTTGCATAAAGAGAGCCACGGTCTATCGATCAAACTTCGAACGGGCCGGTGATCTCAAATGTGCTCGCAACAATTCGAGCATTCATAGATCTAGGATAGTCGGCGAACCAGGAAGTTTCCCCGATCGAATGGATGACACCGATGACGACACATTAACGGACCGGCGAACGCGTGTCCAGCAGGAAAGTCCTAATATTAGGCGGCGGTAATTCTGGCATTGGGGTTATAGGCACCTCCACTCGATCTCCTTGAGTCAACTCGTGTCATGGTCAATTCGCAATGAGTCGGCCAACGCTTTTAGCCCGCGCTCGGTTGCGCCATTATTTCGCGACTTATCGAATAATTCGAGCGACTTCCGAAACGCAGAGGTTTGCGTTTCGAGGCGCCGGATCGAGAGTTCTCGACAACGCCTTCGTCCTCTTCCAACACGGCGATGATTTATGGATCGGCCGTAATGAGCGGCCGGTTCGTCGGCGATTGCCTGTCGACGGGAGTACGGGGGGGCAATAAAATTTTCGCGCACGGCAATTTGTCCGTGCGCGAAGTCCTTTGCGTAAGATCGGTCGTCGCCGCGTCTCCCATACGTTCATCGGGGTCCGATTCGCTACCATAAAAGGAAAAAGTAGGTAAGGGTCCCCTGGCCAGCCTTGACTCATATTATACCCGTCTGTTTAAGTACCGGCCGGAGCGCGGCGCGTCTACGAGCACGCTTTTTAAATACCGATCGCCGGCCAACAGTCAATGAATATGATGCGTGTTGTGTTATGCTCGCCGCCAGTGAACACCGATCTAGGCAGCTTCGGAAACTAGAACGAACCCGAGCAGGATTTCGCTATCTGCGATCTTCTCTGCGAGCCAGCCACGGAGCGACTTTCGCGGATCATAACAATTCATTTATTAATTATTAGCACATTCGCTTCAATTTATAACTAGAAATTTCATTCGTACGTTAATTAGATTTCAATCTCTTCGTTAAATATTTATTTATTGGGCGGGCTATAGCGCCCTATTGTGCGCAATATAAATGGGTAAGAAAATAACAATCGAACATACAAAACTAGAATAACGAATTTCTTTCTTAAATATTCGTTTGTAATAAAATGATAACTTCGATTAGGTTACATTGGTGATTTCCAGAGCCGATCGTCTATATTTGTTGGTAGAGCCAGAGAATAAATCAATGTTGCAGCTTATTGAATTAACCCTTTGCACTCGAAGCTATCTTATGACAAAATGCATATTTTGTGCATATGAAAATGACTCTTGGGACTCGCACAACAGTCACACTCTTGACAATTTTTTCAATCTGAACTTTGTTCGTGTAAAAATTATCTTAAAACGTGACGCAACAAATTTTATTGGTGCCTCAGAGTCACCACTCGAGTGCAAAGGGTTAGTACACTATGTGTCGGAGAGGTATTAATACCTTTTTAGAAAGTTAAATTTTTTGTTAAAAATACATTTGATATTTGCGAAACTGACAATTTTGATAACAAGTATATAACGAGGATTTTTAGGATTTCACTGGGGGGGCTCTTTAAAATATATAACGAAATTAAAAAGAAATAATTTTTTTAAAAAGGCACTAATACCTGTACCACACATAGCGTGTTTATGTAATTACAAATTCTGGTAATAGCGTCGACGAATCTAAGATCAGTTTTACAAACATCGACTCTGAATAACACACAGCTACATAATGGACCTGAGTTAATAAATATTGCCCATTATTGTCATAAATCCGTAAAACCTGCGGTCCTGCCGGCTCACAGTATTCTTTAAAAATTTATAATGAACATTCGCGATATCAAGCTGCTTTGAGGAATTTGATCTGCCGGCTTCCCTTGGGAGCATAACGCGAAAGGGAATAATTTAGCATGCATTAGGATTGGCGTGCGCATTAAATAGTCTATTGATAGGCGTCCGTTAATAATGCATTATTCGATCGCCCTGTCGATGATTTACTCAGATTACTGCACTCAAAAATTATAACTAAACGGTAGATCTTTACGCTTCAGATCTAACGGGAATCTAAACGAAAAACAGTTCTTTCAACTGGAATATTGCTCGCACTAAAAAGAAATGGATTCTCAGTCTGCCTGCAAAAGAATGGCGAAACATCGGATCAAGAAATATTGATACAGGCTTTACATTTATTTATATTTATTTATTGAATACATACAGGAATTTATCCATTAGTTATAAAATTACAAAAAAAAGAATTTCATAGCTGCTTAATTAAATTTGTAAAATATATATATATATATTGAATCTAAACGAAAAACAGTTCTTTCAACTGGAATATTGCTTGCACTAAAAAGAAAAGAATCCTCAGTCTGTTTGCAAAAGAACGGCGAAACATCGGATAAAGAAATATTAATACAGGCTTCACATTTATTTATTTATTGAATACATACAGGAATTTATCCATTAGTTATAAAATTACAAAAAAAGGAATTTCATAGCTGCTTAATTAAATTTGTAAAAAATATATATATATATATTGAATCTAAACGAAACAAAGTTCTTTCAACTGGAATATTGCTTGCACTAAAAAGAAGAAGATCCTCAGCCTGTTTGCAAAAGAATGGCGAAACATCGGATCAAGAAAAATTAATACAGGCTTTACATTTATTTATTTATTTATTGAATACATACAGGAATTTATCCATTAG